GCCATCCCACCAGCAGTGGATGAGCATTCCCCTTTCCCCATATCCTCTCCAACATTTGGTATCATTTGTTCTCTTGATTTTAGGCAATCTGACTAGGGTAAGATGAAATCTTAAAGTGGTTTAATTTGTATTTCCCTAATTACTAATGATGTTGAACACCTTTTAAGATGTTTCTTAGCCATCTTTATTTCATCTTTTGAGAACTGTCTAATTAGCTCCTTAGCCCATCAATAACTGGATTATTTCCTTTCTTGATTCTTTGTTTTTTGAACTTGTTACATATTCTCAATGTTAAACCTCTGTCAGAGGTGTTGCTGGTGAAGATTATCTCCCATTATGTGGATTTTCTCTTCACTTCCTTGGTTGCCTCCTTTGATGTACAGAAGCATATTAATTTAATGAAATCCCATTTGTTGATTCTTGACCTTGTTTCCTGGGCAATTCCTGTCTGGTTTATAAAACCCTTTCCTACACCTATATCTTGTAGGTTATTGACAATGTTTTCTTCTAACAGTTTCAGAGTTTCAGGCTTCACATTGAAGTCTTTGATCCATTTGGAGTTGACTTTCATGCAAGGTTAAAGATAGGGGTTTAGTTTCACTCTTCTACAGGTGGAGAGCCAGTTTTGCCAGCACTATTTGCTAAATATGCTGTCTTTCCTCTAGTGATTGTTCTTGGCCCCTTTGTCAAATATCAGGTGGCTGAAATTGCATGTACTCATATTTTGGTCATCAATCTTGTTCCATTGTTCTACGGGTTTATTTTTATGCCAGTACCATGTTGTTTTTATGACTATAGCTCTATAATACAGTTTAAAGTCTGGCATAATAATCCCTCAGCATTGCTCTTAGGCTCAGGGTTACTTTGGCTATCCAAGGTCTTTTGTGCTTCCATGTGAATCTTAGGATGCTTTTTTACAATTCTGTGAAAAATGTCATGGGCATTTTGATTAGCATTGCAGTGAATCTATAAGTGGCTTTTGCTAGAATGTTCATTTGCACAATATTAATTCTTCCAATCCATGAGCATGGGAGGCCCTTCCATCCTCTGATATCTTCCTCAGTCACTTTCTTTAAAGATTTAAAAATTTGATTTAGAGGTCTTTAATGTCTTTGGTCAGGTTTATTCCAAGATATCTTTTTTTGCAACTGTTGTGAAATGGAATGTTTCCATGCACTCTGTCTCTGATTGCTTATCATTGGTATATAGAAAGGCTACAGACTTTTGTAGATTAATTTTATAATCTGCCACTTTACTGAATGTGCTAATAATTTCTAGGTTTTGTTTGGTGGAATTTTTTGCATCTCTTAGGTATAATATCATATCATCTTCAAAAAGGGATAATTTGATCTCTTCTTTTACAATTAATATTCCTTTAGTTTCCTTCTCTTTTTTATTTCTCTTGCCAGACTTTCAAGCACAATGCTTGGAGTGGAGAGAGTAGACAGCTTTTCCTGGTTCCTGATTTTAATGGGAATGCTCCAAGTTTTTCCACTTTTAGAATGATGTTGGCTACGGATTTGTTGTATATGGCTTTAATTGTGTTTAGGTATGTTCCCTCCAGGCCAATTTCCTCTAGGACTGAATATATATGCATGTTGAATTTTGTCAAAGGCCTTCTCTGCATCTATTGAGATGGACAAGTGGTTCTTCTGTTTGAGCCCATTTATATGATTTATGATGTTTATTGACTTACATGTATTGAACCATCCCTGCATCTCCAGAATAAAGTCAACTTGATCATGGTGGATGATCTTTCTGATGTGTGTCTGGATGTGGTTTGCATGGATTTTTTTGAGAATTTTTGCATCTATCTTTATTAAGTATATGGGTCTATAGTTTTCTTTTTTTGGTTATTTCTTTACCTCACTTTGGTATTGGAATGATGCTGGCTTCACAGAAGGAACTTGGAAGTTCTCCCTCCATTTTTCTTTTTGAATAATTTAAATAGTATTGAACGCAGATCTTCTTTAAATGTCTGTGAAAATTCTGCTCTAAATCCATCTTGTCCTGGGCTTTTTTTAGCCTGGAGGTTCTGTATTACTATTTCAATTTCCTTAAGTGTTATGGGTCTGTTTAAGCTGTTGATCTCTTCTTGGTTTAGTTTTGGAGGTTTCCATGCTTTTTGGTACCCATCCATTTCTTTTAGGTTTTCAAATTTAATAGCATATAGGTTTTTAAAGTATTCCCTTTTAATGTTCTGCACATTTTTGGTGTGTGTTGTGATATTTCCCCTTTCATCTCTGATTTTGTTGACTTGGAAATTCTTGTTCTTTCTTTTGTTTAAGAGGCTTGTAGTCTGTTGATCTTGTTTATCTTTTCAAAGAACCAGCTCTTGGATTCGTTGATTTTTTGTATTGTTTTCTTTGTTTCTACTTCATTAATATCTGCTCTGGGTTTTGTTATTTTTTCTTTTCTGCTGGGTTTGGGTTTCATTCACTTGCTTTTCAAGTGTCTTGAGTTGCAATTTTAATTTTTGTTCTTTCTGAATTTTTAATATAGGCACTCAGAGCTATAAACTTCCCTCTAAGTACTGTTATCAGTGTGTCCCAGAGGTTTGGTTGTTTCGTATTGTCATTTTCATTTCGTTAAAGGAATACTTTCTTAATCTCTCCTTTGACCCATTTATCATTCAAGAGTGTGTTGTTTAATATCCATGTGTTCATGTACTTACTAGGGTTTCTTTTGCTGTTGGTTTTTAGCTTTATTGCATTGTGGTCTGATAGAATGCATGGAATTATTTCAATATTTTTGTATTCGTTGAGGTTTGTTTTGTGCCCCAGTATTTGGTCGATTTTGGAGAAAGAAGCATGGGCCCCTGAATAGAAAGTGTATTCTTTGGTGCTTGGGTTGAATATTTGGTAGATGTCTGTTAGGCCCATTTGAGGTATTGTATTGTTTAATTCAGATGTCTCTCTGTTAATTCTCTGTCCTGTTGACCTATCTAAGGGAGACAATGGGGTATTGAAGTACCCACTATCAAGGAGTTGGGACTAATCTGTGTCTTAAAGCTCTCTAGTAATGTTTTTATGAAGTTGGTTGCACCAGAGTTTGGTGAATATACGTTCATGATTGTAATACTGTCTTGGCCAATTGTTCCTTTGATCAGAATGAAGTGTCCCTCTTTATCTCTTCTGATTAGTTTTAGTTTGAAGTCGATTTTGTCAGATATTAAAATTGTAACACCTGCTTTTTTCTTAGTACTATTTTCTTGCTATATATTTTTTTTCCATCCTTTCACCTTAAGGTAGTGTCTGTCCTTGAAAGTGAGATGAGTTTCTTGCAGACAACAAAAAGATGGATTTGTTTCTTAATCCGTTCAACTAGTCTGTATCTTTTAACTGGGGAGTTCAGTCTATTGATATTTATAATTATTAATGAATGATGTGTATTGATTCCTATCATTTCTATTTCTGTTCATGTTCTTGGCATAGCTGTACAATTCCATAGTTATACCTTCATTAAGTTTCCTTCTGTAACCCTTTGGGTATAGTTATTCCTTTCGTCAGCTCTTTGTGTTGCTTCAAGAACTCTCTGAAGGGCTGGTTTTGTGAAAATGAATTCTTTCATCCCATTTTTGTCACGGAAAAATATGGAATGCTTCACGAATTTGCATGTCATCCTTGCACAGGGGCCATGGTAATATCTGTATCATTCCTAATTTAGTATATGTGGTGCCAAAGTGAACACTTATTTTATTATTTTATTTTATTTATTACTTTTATTTTATGTGGATGAGTGTATTTCTTTCATGTATGACAGTGTACCCATGTCATGAAATACTGCGGAGGTCAGAAGAGGGCTTTGGATTCTCCTGGAACTTGAGTTAAGGCAGTTCATAGCTGCCATGTGGGTGCTGGGAATTGAACCCAGGTCCTCTGTAAGAGCAGTCAGTGCTTTTAACCACTGAGCCATCTCTCCAGCCCCATGTTTTAATTTTAAAAGGGTTTCATTAATTCTTTGGGAATTTTATATGATGTATATTGAACATATTCACCCCAACTCCTCCTTTTAACTCCTCCCATATTTACCTTTCCCTAACCCTCTAACTTCATGACCCACTTTTTCAAAATTTAATAATCCATTAACTCTAATTTGTTTTGTCCATATAATTTTGGATGTAAGGACAACCACTAGAACATGGGTGACCTACCAAGAGTCTTAAAGAAAGCTGATTCTCCCTCTCCTTGAAGCCATCAACTGTCTATATATTCTCAGTTAGGGATGCAGGCTCATGTACTCCTTCCACTCAAGTCTAGCCTGTTGGTTGGACTGAGTTCAGATATTCTGTAATGTCTAGAAGATACTGTTTTGAACAGGTTCTTCCAGCCTCTGGCTCTTACAATATTTCTTCATTCTCTTCCCTGATGGCTCCTCACTTTGGGAAGGGACATGATAGAGATGTTCCATTTGTGGATGAGCACTCCACAATCACTGAGTCTCTGCCTTTTGACCCCTTCATAGTTTCATTGTTAACTACCATCCACTATACAAAGAAATATTCTTGGGGCATTTGAGGCACACTAATCTACAGGTAGGGAGTTACAAATTTATAGGGCACCTTGACACTATGTCTATTTGAAAATCATTTATTTTATAAGCTTCATATAAAAAATTTCATTAAAGTTACCTTACACAGGGGATTACAATCATCAAAGTAGTCACAATTTTCCAAATAAAAAGCCCGCCACCAAGTGAGGGACACCTTTTCTCAAGTTGTTGCTCAACGGTGTCCTAGAGACCCTGAAAACAACACAGGCTATTGACATTGCTTTTGTTTGTTAACCAAATCTGTTTACAAGACCCTACTGCTAAATATAACACATCTATTGGTCACAGGAAAAGGACAAATCCAGTTCATCCAAACCGTGCATCCTCCTTGCTGGCTATCTCTTATAGTACTGGAAGGTGCTATGTAGGCTGCTTGGGGAAGATTATCAATAGTCTTACTCAGTCATGAACCTTGTGAACTGCAATAATGGCCAGTGTGGCAAGATATTACCATGGTTACAAAAGTGGCACAAATGTTATGGTGGTAATCCACCACTTTCTGCTATGATTTAAAGCCTACTTTGTAGAGAAAACATATGACTGTTACTCAAAATTTTGCCAGTAACCCATGGTTGAGAGGCTCACAGGCACTAGGGGTGAGCTTATTATTACTGTTTTTCTAAAAGAACATAGTATCAAACTGCCTGCTAAATGCATGCTTCTTTACCAATAGATTAGTGTGTTTTATTTTAAAAGTACATTAAGCTATCTTTTACCTGAAAGATACTCTCATCATGAATACTTTCATTACTTATCCTAGCTCAATAAGAAACAATCCTCAAAATTCACTGAAGGTATCAGTGTTTACCATTGAGAAATAAGTTTTAATAAAGTAGTCTGTTGATAATTTTTCAACTTTTTTCCCTAATGTAACATTTCTCAGCCATGTTAGAGCAAGACAGAAGCATGGACTTTGCATGTGTGTATATTTTAATTGTTATAAGTTTAACAGAATACCTGAGGCTATTTAGCTTAATTAAGTAAAGAAGTGTGTCTTAGAGCATGTTTCTGGAGACAAAGATCATGAGTCACATCTGGTAACTTCTTGCTGGCAGAATCCCAAGGTAGCTTAAGAAATCAAAGGAAAAAAGACAGGGGAGAAGTTCCAGTGTGCTTGTCTGATCTTTTTTCTTCTTTTTGTAAACCCTTCAGTTATCAAACATGAGGGTTCCACATTGAAAACCTTTTATACATCCTAATTAACTCTCAAAGGCCCCATTTGTCAACACTACAGTCAGATTTTCACATTTTTAAATCTCACCAAGAGGATTATAATTTGGCATGAATTTCTAAGATGATAAACTATATTCAAATCAGAGTAAGATGGTTTATACTAAAATATTACCTGAATGTTTTCTCTTTGCAAAGATGTCTATGAACTGTAAATGGAATATAATCTTTGCCTTTATGTTATAAAGAAACTTCCACACAAATGACATGAAATGAAAAGTGTAGAAAATTGAAATTATTAATCCTCTTTTAACAATGACCAATAATCACAGCTAACTTTGTTGAACAAAGCTTTTGTGAACAAATCAGTATAAAAGATGAACTGGATGAGTATATGGCAAAGCTAAGAAGTGAAACAAGATGAAGGCAGAGAGAGGGGTAACAGGTTCTCATCTGAGAGACTGGCATGGTTTTATTGTGTGGTCATAAGGTATGTAACATCTCTCTTCTCTCATGTCTTTGTCAATATAATGGGGTCAATATGTCTAATTTCATATGACTTTCAAAGAGAGAGTTGCAGTAGTCCCCCTACTTCCAGGCAGAGTCTGGCCTATGTTAAACAATTCACAAGTGTTACTTTCAATTTTTATGCTTGTGACTGATACAATTCTTGGGAATGAGTAAAATCACTGAAGATGTAGAAATTTGGGCAAGCTCTGGGCAAAATTATCTCAGTGATTTAATTTCAAAAGATGCTTTAAAGCAAACTGTAGGAAGTAAAATTGACAAAAGTGCAGGTTGAAATGAAAATCAGGTCTTTGAGTGTTAACACAAGGAGACTAGACACACACTTTTATCTTTCCCTGCCTAAACCACAGCACATGCATGGGGCCTCATGGTTCTCAGGAAATACTAGCTTAGTTGTTTTTGTTTGATTTGATTATTCTATTACTGAAAATTAGAAGATAAAATATATAGAGAATGTACTAATGATATTGGTGAGCATCAGTGTGGCAAAATAAGAATAAGTCATGTTTATTATAATAATGATAATCACAAATTATTTACCATAGCAATTGCAAGAACAGAGAGAGACAGTGGCCACTAGAAGTACATTCAAAGAAAAATCTGAAGGCTTTCCTAAAATAATTTACATGACATATATAAACTGAAGAATATGATGCAGATTAGGGCCTAGAGAAATGGCTCAGTGGCTAAGAACAGGTACTGCTCCTGTAGAGGAATGGATTCTTGCTCTCAGCACCCACCTAGAGCAGCTCACAATCTCCTACAACTCCAGTTCCAGGGGATCTGACATGCTCTTTTGGCCTCTACAGGCACTGCATTCACATCCACAAAATGCCATTTAAACACACATATCCATAATACAAAAAGTTTAAAAATATTTTTTAAAAATAATAAAAAGTAAACATGATGTTATTTATATATATATATATATATACAATTATAAAACAGCAGTTTTTAAAAGGCAATGGAATG